CCCCCCCTCCCCCAACAAAAACAAAAACGGAGAAGAAGCAGTAAGCATTTCAGGGATTTGAGATCTAAATAGACCAAGAATCCCGAGATTTCTATAATCAATGAAGAGATTCAGTGGTTAAGAAGATAGTGACGATTATTGTCAAATCCATAAAAAGAAAAAGGAAAAAAAGGATAGCTACGAATATACTTTTAGTTAGGTGTGCACGAGTGGCTTGATGTTTCCTCCATGTTTTCTACCAGGAGAACCTCGAAATTATTGCTTATAATACAGCTAATATCTTAATTTTTTTAGTTTCAAATCCTATTGCAAAAGTAAGCCTTCACTTTATCTAGATCCTACTTCTGAATCGGAATCGGGAAAGATTCCCACGTGCATCTTTTGGTTTTATCAAAAAAAAAAAAGTGCTCTCTCCGTTTAGATGTGATATAGTTTTGACATAACACAAAATTTAAGAAAAAAAAATTAAAAATATGGGATCCTAAAAGCTTAAAGCTTTGTGAGATCATGATGTGTGGCTATAAAAGTTTCTCGTTAAGAAAAAAAATGGGTAAAATTATAAGTTTAAAGTTAAATTGTTTTCAAATATAAAAATATATCTTTTTTTTAACGGATTAATAAGGAAGGAAATTTTTTTTTAAATTGACGCGGGGAGTATTCTTTTATCATTTCTCCTTAATATTTTTTCAATATTTATTTATGAGAATAAAGCTACTCTTAGCGCCATTCACTTCTACCAATGGACAATGGTCATGATGTGTAAATTAGGTAAGTAACTATCTCAAAGAAAAATGAGTGGCCTTTAAGTTGTTGATTTTCCTTTCTATAATACTAATGACAGCTTAATGTTACTTGGTATATTCTGTAAACGCTTTCTGCGGCATTGACCATCAATTATATTGTTGAAATGGACTTACACAAGATGTCCAACTTTTCCTTATTTTACAAAAAGCACCATACATATTACAGTGGCTCTGACCATCAATTATATGTTTATCTCGTGTTTGATTGAAATTAGAAAGATAGACGAGCGAAAGAGAGGCAGAGTTTGTGAGTATAGGTATCTATAAATTTCTGTATATGTGTAATTACAAAAATTGTTCCTTTACTGGATTTCATAAGCATATCCTACAATATTCGGATGCTTATGCAATAATACAAGACAATATATACTCATTGGCAAGAGACAACATTCAGGAGTGTGCTCCTTGATCTGATCAAGCACCTAAAGATGTTGTCCATGCCATCCTCAATGCATTCAAAATGAGCTTCCAGATTTTCCAATTTGCTCTGCACAAACTGTATCTTCTCCGCTTCATTAGTACCATTTTTGAAAACGCTGTTTAATGCAACATCAGCACTTTCTATCTCATTTACATTGTCTTGATCTCCCTTGTTCACCAATCTTGAAACCAATGACCATTTGCTTATTGGCTTAGAAACTGGAGCTGACAAGAAAACCAACACCATTTGGAATACTGAAATTCCCATTGTACTAACTTCTCTTAGCACTCTTATAACAGCTGAGACAAGTTGATCAGCTTCCATTACAGCAACC